ACGCACCCCGATTCAAATCCCCAACGTATACCTGACACAAACAAATCTACTACTACTACTATCCCCGGCTACACGGACGGACGGATCTGATCTACCCACATTGATTAATCTGCCGCCAGCACAGTCGCTAGTACTACTACTAGTTCCAATAACTAATCACCCACACTGTACGCACTCTTTTGTTCTTCATTTTCTTTTCCGTTGGATCCGAACAAAACAATAATGGGGTGAAAAAGATGGTAAAAAAAGAAGTTCCGTGCTACATTTGTTACTGTGGAGTGTGGAGGAAGGGATAGGGAAGAAGATGAGCGACTCCACTGGTGGTCACGGCGGCAGCATGCAGCCACCGCTGGGGTCTGGCTGCATCATGTCAGGAAGATTCGGAGTGTGCATCAATTTCAGCGCGGCCAATGATGGCTCAAAACGTCACCATGATTCCCTATCCGCTGGTAATTACCTCGGTAACGCGGATTACCACCATTTAATTACCGCAGTAGTTATTATACCGGCTGCCGAGACCGACTGGCGTGCATATGGCATATGCCCGCATCGCATCGACATGGGGATTAATTACCCCGCATTAACTATGGAAGGAGTACTACTACACTGTGGGAGGATTTGACCTTTTAAATGAGGATTAAACCTTTGGCAATTAAAGCAAGTACAATAAAGCTGAGTCAGCTGGCTATAAGACTGCTCACAGTGAGGAGTAAGATAGAGTAGTAACTTGCCGATGTTACTAGTCTATGTTACTATCTTCATAGTGGGCAGTAACATATGAGTGGTATCATGAAAGAGTTCATTTATTAGGCTATAGACTCATTATGCCTTGAAATGTGTGATGTTACATTAGCTAGCTAAGTTACCACAAACCCCTCTCTCCTTATTAATTAGCTACCACATAAGCAATTTTGTATTGAAATACTCCCTCCTTTTCGGTTTACAGGGCTTATCTCAAAATTTTAGTTTTTTTCATTTTATAAGGCTCAATTTGGTTGTTTTCCATCACATGTTCAGATTCCAAGGTGCATTAAATCATTGCATGCAAGTATTAAGAGAAAATTGACCAATGCATGTACTTTATGCATGCATGCATTGCAATTTATGCATTGATAAACATAATTTTTTGAGGAAAACAAGTGCATTAATTAGGTGCTTTTGCAAACTACAAAAAGTATTCCACCATTCATCATCTATCTTGGTTGGTGAGATTTTTGAATTGAGCCCTATAAACCAAAAAGGAGGGAGTATGTGATGTTACTAGCTAAGTTACTCCCATTGTGACTAGTCTAAGACTGCTCAGATTAGCCACAAATGGGTAGTAACATAGAGTAGTAACATAAACATGTTACTAGTCTATGTTACTACCTCTATAGTGGGGAGTAACATATGTGTGGTAACATGCAACGCTTCGTTTATTAAGCTATAAACACATCTTGCCTTGATATGTGTGATGTTACTCATACTACTAGTAACTAGCTATGTTACTACTTTACTCTCTTTCTTCATTTATTGCTTGCCACATCACCTATTTTATCTAGATATGTGTGATGTTACTATCTATGTTACTCCCATTGTGGGTAGTCTCACAGTGGGGAGTAACATAGAGTAGTAACTTGTTGATGTTACCAGTCTATGTTACTACCTCCATAGTGGATAGTAACATATGAGTGATATCATGAAAGAGTTCATTTATTAGGCTATAGACTCATTATGCCTTCAAATGTGTGATGTTACAGTAACTAGCTAAGTTACCACAAATCCCTCTCTCTTCATTAATTAGCTGCCACATAAGCAATCTTGTATTGAAATGTATGATGTTACTACTTAAGTTACTCCCATTGTGACTAGTCTAAGACTACCCACAATGGGAGTAACATAGATAGTAACATCACATATATCTAGATAAAATAGATGACGTGGCAAACAATAAATAAAGAAAGAGAGGCATGTGGTAACATAACTAGTTACTACTAGTATGAGTAACATCACACATATCAAGGCAAGATGAGTCTATTGGCTAATAAATAAAGTGTTGCATGTTATCACACATATGTTACTCCCCACTATAGAGGTAGTAACATAGATTAGTAACATGCATCATGTTACTATTTTATATTACTACCCATTGTGGCTAGTCTAAGAAATATACTAGCACTCCCTCCATTCTAAAATAGACGACTCAACTTTGTACTAACTTCAGTACTACAAAGTTGAGTCATCTATTTTGGAACGGACTACAAAGTTGAGTCATCTATTTTGGAACGGACTACAAAGTTGAGTCATCTATTTTAGAACAGAGGGGGTGTATTTTTACTTAGTTGGAGGAAAGAAAAAAAGGAGAGAGAAGGTAAGCGGGCTCTTGGTGAAGAGCCAGCTCTAGCACGTGCTGCTAGGTACTTTTGTGAGAGTGAAAAGTGAGCCATATAATAAAAAAACCAGTATTCTCTTCTAATCAACTATTGTACATACTCCCTCCTTCCATGTATATTGGGCCTAATGCGTTTTTCGAGACTAACTTTGACCACATGTAGAGCAATAATATATGACATACAGGTTACACAAAGCACATCATCAAATTCATACATGGAAGGAGCTTCTAATGATATAATTTTCACATTATACATCTCATATATTATTAATCTTATTAATAGTCAAAGGCAACCTCGAAAAATGTATTAGGCCATATATATATATGAAAGAAGGGAGTATTGGATATGAGATGAGTTATAAATGACATGACAATGGATTATAGCCAGCAGTTGGCTATACTATTAACCATGCTATTAGAGAGATGCATGCATGGGCGACAAGGTGTAGTTGCATGTGCATGTGAGCACCATTCCGTTTGGCTTGCCTTTTGGTGGTTTCATCGTCCGGGCGTCCGTCGTGCCGTCGTCCTCCTACTCAGAAATGCAAAGTGCTTTCAAGCAAGAAAGAGAAAGGAGATGCAAATGCAAATACATGCGCCACGTACGTACATTGTATGTGTAGGGTAGATGATTCCCTGCTTTCGTGAGTCCCGAAGCGAGCCTTCTGGGGTTGTCCGAAAGAGTTCGGGGAAAGAAACAAACTTGGACTCTCATCATAACCCTTTCCTTCTCTCTTGCTGCATGCCTGCCCAACTTTTGGCACTCGTATTGGTAGGAGTAGTAATTTTCATTCACATGCATGCATGCACTGATGCACATGCATGGGCCGGTGGAAGTACACTAACCTTCTTCTGTTTTTAATTGTATATACTTCCTCCGTTTGCAAATATGAAATGTCATGGTGATCTGTTTTTGAATTGAATGTATATAGACACTTTTTAATGTGTTTGTTTACTCATTATCGTTTGTATGTAATTTATATTGAAATATTTAAAACATCTTATATTTGTAAATGGATTAAGGGGTAGAAGTTAACCGAAGGTCACACATGCAAGCACCTGACGAGATAACCTAGATTAACCGTCCATGCAAGCATATGTACAACGCGCCGCGTAGCAAGAGATTTACTGAATATGTAGAGTTGATAAGTTCATTGAGGTATTTTTTTTGCCTACTTAAAAGTAAAGGAAAACTTTGTATTTCACAAAAAAATATATGAAATTAGAGCATCTACAACCGGACTCCTCAAACGCTTCACATATGTCCGGACAGATGGTCTGGTCTGTGAACGATCACATAATTGTGACCTAACCATACGCCTCATACCGGCTCTATACGCCCGGGATGACCCTCACCTCTCATATCCAGCCCATATCTAGGGGCCGATATGGGGAGGATCGGACGCGCCCGGGAGTATCTGCCACCTCGCATCCGGTCCATGCTGGTCCATCTCGACCGCACATATATTGGTCGCCATTCGTATCATGGACCAAATCCTAGACAATCCAGTCAACTCCACACCACCCCTCTCCACTCCGCCCCAAGCTTCATTCCGGTGATCTCGAGCCTTCTCTGGTATGACTGGCAACGGATCCGACTCCACGATGTCCCGACCTGTCGACTGGGACCTCATCCCATGTGCCCACGAGGAGGTGATGACTATTGGAATGGCTCTCCGCAACTCACAGGAGGAATCCACGCGACCTTGGTCAGACTCGATCCGGCGGGAATCCATTGCATCCGTGCAGAGCACTTGGATCCACCAAGCTTGATGGCGGGAGGCGCGTGACCGTTGCCTCGCCACACGGTGTGCCGTCGGTTTGCCACTCCTACATCGCAACACCTTCGGTGGCGTGTCTTCCCCGCGGCGTTGGGCTCCGAGTCGAAGATAAACGGCGGCATGCATCATAGCCCGTCGAGTGTTATGAAGCGGAGTGCTCGCCGTGAATGGTAAAGGGCACAGTATCCCTCAGGACCGAGGTCACGAAGGCGGTACAAGTGGTGTGAGTGATGCTGATGTGCCGCCACACCGTTACATGTGTCCGCAGGACGGACAAGTTGAAAGATCAAGCGGTGTGTTTAAACAAAATGTCCGCGGGGCCCACGGAGCAGGAGACCCATTTTTTGAAAAACAAAGTATAGGCGTGCATGGGGAGTGTGCAATGGCAGCGGGAAGGATCGCCATCAGCCTCACTGCATGCATGATAACAACTTTCTCCTGTTACATTGTCTCTCCGGCCTGGCCAGCAAACAACTCACCCGGCTCGACGTCCACCCCCCATCCCCCGACGCACCCACCACCAGATTCTACCTCTAACACACTTGGAGTTCCTCGCTCGCTCGCTCTCTGCAGCTGCTGCTGTTCTCTGCTCTGAAAACGATTTCACCTCCCACTACCACTCTGAAATCCCGGGCCTCACTCACTCTCCCTCCTGTACTACTACCAGTAGCAGCCGGCCAGCAGCATCACTCTCTCCCGTAGCTCACCTTAACTAGCGCCTGGCAGGCATCCATCTCTCCAGCCCCGTCTCAAACTTTCAAACTCCACTCTGTTCCCTCCCACCAGCGGCGGCAAGCAACACCTCGTTGCACTCTCTCCATCGATCAATCAAAGCTAGATCGGGAGGCATGAAGTGGTACTCGCGGAGCCGGTCCGTGCCGGCCACGCCCAGGGGCCTCCCCGCCGACGCCATCGCCGGCAACCCCGGCCCCGGCTGCATGTCCATGGTCCACTACCTCATCTTCGCCCCCGGCGCCGGCTGCGTCGGCCGCCCTCCCTCCTCCTCTCCCAACGACTCCACCGCCGTCGTTTCCAGCTCCCACAAGCTCAGCTCTCCTTCTCCCACCTCCCACCAGAAAGGTAATTAACCACTGCAGCAATTGCAATTGCGAGCAACGGAGTGGCAGACAACTAGCTAGTAGTTCATGGCGAGTGGTTCCATTTGACATATGCCATCGATTTGCAAATGCAGGGCTGGAGGCGCCGAGGAACAGCCTGGAGCTGGACGCCGACCAGCTGCGGGACATCCAGATCGGCGTGCAGGTCGAGCCGGCGTTCGACGCGCTGGCGGTGGCAGGGAGGCGGAGCACCGGCAGCAGGGCCACCGCGCCGCCGTCCGAGGCCGGGACGCCGCGCACGCCCAGCCTCGTCGCGCGCCTCATGGGCATCGACGGCCTCCCCGACGACGCCTGCTCGCCGTCGCCGGGCCTCAAGAAGGGCAACAACAATCCCAGGGCGGCGGCGGCGGCCGTCAAGGAGAAGAAGAAGCGGGTCATCCCGGAGTCCATGAACCGGCAGCCGCTGCGGAGCCTCAGCTGCAACGTCGGCGCCGGCGAGGCCAGGTCGCTCCCGGACACGCCGCGGGCGTCCGCGTCGTCGGCCAGGACGGCCTCGGCGTGGGACGTGGTGGACCGCCCGCGGCTGTCGTTGCAGGTGTTGAAGGAGAACGTGCTCGACAGGGCGGCGCAGTACATGTCCATGCCCACCTCGCCGACGTCGGCGAAGAAGAAGAAGGATAGGAGGGACGGGGACGCCGTGGGGCACCGGCGGAGGGACGCCAAGGAGCACGCCCGCGAGATCGTCAGGCAGGCCAAGGAGACCGTCACCAACCGCAAGTCCGGCGGCAAGCAGAAGCCGACGACGGCAAGCGCGGGCAGCAACGACAAGGAGAACGCGATTCCGTTTGCGGTGGAGGACAAGAAGATGGTGGTGGTCCAAGCTCCAGCACCGGCAGCTTCCATCGTCACACCGACCGCGCCACCGACGCCGCAGGCGAAAGCACAAGCCGATCAGCAGCAGCCACACGCCCCGAGGCTCCCACCGCCCCCGCCGCCGATGCGCGCCAAGCCAACGCAGCCACCTCCTCCACCACCGCCACCGGATCATCCAATTCCAGCAACGTCGACCAGAGCGGCGCCGCTGTCGCCGCAGGCCGTCCAGTGCAAACGACCGCCAGACGGGTGCGAGCGCTTCGCGACGCGGGTCAAGAAGCCGCCAGCCGAGACAACGATTGAAAAGGCGGCACCACCGTCGTCTCCCTCCGCAGTCGCAGGAGCCACCGCGCCGGCGGCGAGCTCGCACGCGCGCGTCGTCGACCAGCACCACCGCCGCAGATTACTTCCTCCCGCCGTGGCGTCCACATCGTCGTCGTCGTCGTCTTCGCTGGAGGACGACCCAGAGTACGGCTACCTGCGGACGGTGCTGGAGCGCGGCGGGTTCATGCGCGCAACGCCGCCGCCGAGCCGGCCGTTCAAGGGCCACTCCATGTCGTCCCCAGTGGACCCAATCGTGTTCCACCTCCTGGAGCTAGACCTCCCCGCGGACGACTCCGACGACCGCCGCAAAGGCCCGCTCCGGCACCGGTGGAACCGGAAGCTCCTCTTCCACCTGGCCCAAGAAATCCTCGCCGGCCTCCTCCACCGCGACGACAACGGCGCCTCCCCCGCAACAAGGCCGCACGGGCCGGCGCTACTATCCAAGGTGTGGGGCACGGTGAAGGCATTCCCGGCGGCGGACTGCAGGGTGGTGGGCGACATCGACGCGCTGGTGGCACTGGACCTGGACTCGGCGAGCGTGCGCGGGCTGGCGCGGCACCCGGCGGTGGCGGAGGAGGCCGGCGACGTGGCGGAGGACGTGGCGGAGCTGGTCCTGGACGCGCTCCTCAGGGAATCTCTCCCTCCATCCTGGTCGTGGTCGCCGGCACGTGCGCCGAGGTAGCTAGCCGTTGGGGCAGGGGGTGACGCCGGGTGACGTGGCCGGATCCCAACGGAATCAGCGGGGGACGGGCGGGCGCTGACACCCATGCGGCGGGCGGGCGTACGCTCCGCGGCAGGGCGGCCGTACCAACCGACCGCCGCTGCGGCTCCCTCAGATCACTGTTCGACGGCCGCGATGACGACGGGTGGCTTCGCTTTGGTGTGCGTGCGCATGCGGTTTTACTACTCCTGGTAGTAGTTACTATAGTTATTACTTTCCCTTTCTTTCTCTCTTTTTTTCTCTCTTCCTCTTAAATTTGAGATTTCAGGTGTACATAATGAGCCATCGATCTCATTTTGTAATTTTGATCAACACCATCATGATACATTCCCTTCTCTCATTTTTCGTTTGTCCGAAACTTCGCCGATATTGGCCACCTACACTCGCACGTCGACGAACCGAAAATCGTTGTGTAAAGAGTATGGAACTTTGCAAAAAATGTCACTACAACCACAAAAATGTCTAGCTTGCATGGAATGAGCTGACTATGGTCAACTGAAGATTTCATGTTGATCCAAGAACTCAAACTGTAGCTTGAAAAACACCAAAAAAGTATTGGATTGATAATGCTCGAGTAGCATGGCCTAGAATGTCGACACAATTTGCTGATGTATACGCTAGATCCCTGCATGCATGCATGCACGCATGCAATTGGAGTTTTGAATGTAGATCTCAACGGCCAGCATCGGACATCATAATGTGGGCAGCAGTGGTACCTTGTGGTGGTAGGGACAGACAAAAGAGGCAGGAAGAGATACTACTATCAACATTAGTACTCCTACTACTACACACTGGATTAGTCCTGGATCAGCATGCATGCTTGCTTTCAAATCTCACCGGTAATCTCAGCAGTATATTAACTATCCCATCAGTACCTGTACCCGCAGCATCATTTTTATACTGTTTCAAACTGAAACGGAGAGAGAGAGCGAGTGTGTGTGTGATGCAAAGGGTCAGCATTTTTGTGGGGAAATGGTGTTAGCCCTGACTATAAAATGCACAGGCAGCAGACTCAAGGACTGTCAAAAGCAGAGAGATATTGTTTCTTGTTTAGTTTGCTAGCTGATGCTGAATCATTTGTACTTTTCCATGGAATGTCTTTTCCCTGATTTGGATGTGTTTAGTTTAGCTAGGGACTTGTGTGGCAATTCGTACCGCACCGCTTCAAACTGTTTGTTTCTGTCCCACATAGTACACACCCAATTTGGTGTCATGCTTCTGTCTCTTTTGTGTTTGCCTTCACCGGTGCACAAAGGTACACCCCAGTCCCCAGGCGGTTAGAATTTGGATTGAAGCATACTAATTTGGCTGGAATGTGCAAGGGAATAAGTACGGTATGCTTTTAAAATATCTAAATGTGTTTTTCTCTCATAATTTGGCTGGATTTTTACTCCCTTCATGTCCGTCGGGGATGAAAGGGCCAATCGAAATGGACATTACAATGAAAATAATAATCAACACCAATCGAAATGGAGTACTTCAATATAAACTAGATGACACCCCGCGCGTTGCGGCGGGAACATGCAGGAATTTGTTGCGGTGTATCATTTTGATGAGATTTGGTTGTCTTGAATTTGAATATGAGGCTAAAGATTAAAAGTACATACTATATTTTTTTGTATTTGATTATATATATGTACATAATAAATTTTAAGTATTATCTCTCATGCATGTTGAGAGAAATAAAAGTAATGCAGTTGATAAAGTGGGATATGTGCATGTTGAGGCAATTGCTATAGGTACCATTTTCATGCATGCATGTTAAAAGAAATAAATGTAGTGGATGTGATGAGGTGGCATATGAGCATGTCCAGATAAATAAGGCAATGGGGATGAACTTCTTAGGTATATGCGCACAATAAATATCTAGTGGAAAGAAGTGAAAACCAAGTGCAAATTGTGCTTGAAAGTTTCTGTAGATACTGAAAGAAATATAACATGTTGAGGAGGTGATATGTTCTGTATACGAACATGCAAAATTTCAAAGTTTAAAATAAAACTAGAATGGTTGGGCCCGCTTCGTTGCTCCGTTGGTGTTGTTGGGTTTTTATAATTTTTTACTCCCTTTGTTTCAAAATATAAGGTGTATTAGTTCTTTGAAAAGTCAAATCTCTTTGAGTTTGTCCAAATTTATAAAGAAATATATCAATATCCGTAATATCAAATCGGTATAATTGGATTCATCATGAAATGAATTTTTATAGTTTTTTATTTAGTATTGTGGATTTCGATATTTTTGCTCTAAACTTGGTCAAAGTTAAGAAAATTTGACTTATAAAAAAAACTAATACACCTTATATTTTAAAACCGATTGAGAATTTGTTTGGCGAGTAGGGGATATGATGGAGTGTGTTTTTCTTTTTATTTATAACTAGCTAAATGCCCGTGCGTTGCCATGGAATAATTTTTTTTGTCGTAATCAAAAATGTTTGTAAACATAATGGCATGTGGTTTATGTTCACATAAGGACAATTTGAGTCTCTCTCCACTCCTTTCCTTCTCGTCCACCACCCTCTCCTTACAAGAAGACAAACCTTCATTCTCATCATGTGTCTAATCTCTCCTTCAAAATTGTATGTCGACATGTCTAATCCCTCTTTCAAAATTGTATGTCTACACATTATATCTTCTAATTTGAAAGATTCTTTTGATCTTCTTTTTATGAGTAGTTAGTTGGATACTCAAAGGCAATAATTTAAGCATTCCATTTTTTCTTTTTTAGTAATACAAATCAAACTTTGCATTGGCTTGACACGGGTTTGATCAGAACAATTGTTCTTGAATTTCCATATAGATAAAATTATAAAACAAATGAGCCATACGATTTCCCACAGATAGCCCTCAAAATAGAAGGGCAACCCCATAGGAAGGCTAAGTATAGAGCTCTCGTCCAAGAGAAATAGTTGTACCAGAGAACAATCTCAGAATAACATGAAGTAAGTGTATGCCGGTGCAGGCGCGCAGTACAACACAGAAGTAAGTCCCCGCATTTGCTGATCTGTAGTAAATTTGGTTCCCCCTGCTGCTACTGCTCCTAACGATTCCAACATTTTCTACAACACGTGTCGCACTTCGTGCGCTTTGTCAGCTTCGCCTTGTCTACTCCTACATTGGCAATGGGAGTGTTTGCATAGAAGACACCACGGGATTCACCTCCATCTGCCTCCAGGTCTATTTAACCTCCATCATAACCTAGTAACGAGAAAGCAAAGAAAACAATCAAATCCACAATGTCCAACCATTTGATTCATAGATTGATGATAAAAAAGAATAGGGTTTCCCAAAGTGTAGAGTCATTCCCACGACCTTTTATGACCTGAAGTAAGCATGAACATCAACCATAACACAGCTTATAAGAGTGCACGTCTGCACAATATGTTGACAACAAATAAGGGCCATACAAGTCGTGGTTGAAACAAAAATTTTAACTTCAACACTGGGAGCTGGGTGAAATAAAGATGCTTACTTGGCAGATACTCTTGCTATTGAGACACACAGTCTGATAGTCATGGTGTCTATCTTGCATGGTAGATCAAATAATTCACGTAGTAAATTGTATGTTAACGAAACTTATGAGAAGTAAATATTCTAGCACGCATTTGGACCATCACTTTAACAATATTGTTCACTCAACCCAGGAAAAAGAAGGAAAAAGTTGCATGAAACACCATCATACATCAAAACTTACCATCACAACAGTATCATCTATGGACATTTTTTTCTTAGCCAAGACTTCTTGTAGAGGATTTGATCGTATGATTTATTCCAGGACCTGCTGTAATTATGGTGTATCTGCAGAATTGACAACTGCTAATTCACATTTAGAAACATGTAAATGTTGTTGGACTATTCAGTTCAAGTATGTTGGATGCTGTGTATTCATGGATTCAGCAATACCATACACAATTGTTTACAAAATTAAAATGAAGGGAAATGCAGACGATTCTCCTACTTTGATATTTCTGAAACTACAGTTGGCAGGTTACGCAAGAGAGTTGACATGCGGCCATACCCCAGCTGCCCCTTCTGCTAAAAATAACAGTGTTAAGTACGAAACGTAACAAAATTAAGCATCAACTCGTACTTATACCTCATTTTGACCCCATGAGAAGCAAGGGCAGTCAGAACTCTAAGAAACACAGTGGCAAGCTGCTGGCAAAAGCAAAATACAGAAATCCATTACAAAAATCGATATGGCCATAACTCGATTTTACTACTAACGCACTCAACAAACGCTATGACCATACACTAATCCAGGCATTTCCACACACAAACTGGTAACTTCCCATGCCTTCTTACAATAATTAGATGAAGAAATACATTGGAGTAAAGTAAGGAAGTCATCTCGAACGTGGAGGAGCAAAGTAAGGAACTCACCGCAGCCGGAGGGGCCGAAGCGGATGTCGACGCCCACAAGAGGGTGCAGCCGCGTCAAGGACACCAGGCTGCATGGGCTTGCAGGTCTAGGAGTCCAACGTTGAAGGTACATGCGCGATGAAAAAAAGTCATCCCTCGTCGTAGAATATAACTCGCACCCGACGACTAATTCCGACAAAAGGAGGATTTATTAACTTAAAATGAAGCATCAAGAGGATACAAACACAATGAGCACACACCCGGCCTCTGCATAACTAAGATGCACACAGTCAACACAAACGCACACACAGAAAAACACGTTGGCGAATAGCAAAGTCATATAAGACCAAAGCTGTCCCTATGCGAGGAAAAAGAAAATAACTCGAAGTGATCAAATCCGTAATCGACAAACTACAGCTATGGCCATATCCGCACCAACCATCCCATGACAACAAACCCGACAACTAATCAGGCACCGAGCAAACAAAAATAAGCCGCATCGACCTGGAAGCTAAAGCTGACACCCACGCTAGACATGGCCTAACTTAATTTATCTCCAAGTCAGAGCAATTGCTCCATCATTCCTTCTGTGAAAATAAACGAGG